TAGATGGTCAACGTGGAGGGTGACAATGCCTCATTTATCACCCTAATTAATTTTCAAAAATATAGGGAATTCAATCCTTATTTAACCAGTAACGATAAATAACCAAATTTCAATAAAGAGAACAAATATCAAATATGATTTCATTGGATTGAAAAATCTTCCGGTTCTTCATTGAATATCCATTTGAATATTTAATTTCGCATTATTATTGATCTAGTGATGGTACAACTGGTCATGTCAAACAATAAAATCAAATTGAAATTCTGGTTCAATATAAGATATTATTTAATTATTAAAGTTCGAAGAATATGAATAAAAATTATATAATCATATATCATTCAAGTAATCAAACTAATCAATGTCCTCGTGACATTAATCACATGTTGTCCTTCAGGGATAACCATAAATTCAAAATGATATATTCTTCGACACATGTGTTATTTCAAGAGCACGTTGCATTTATTATTGTTCTTTCAAAAGCAATATGATAATATTCTTTTGAAATATTGAAAATTATAATTCATGCTTTTGAGGAGTAAGTAATATTCTTTTGGAATATTAATTATGATGTTATGAAACTTTAGGGACAACAATGAACTATTATTTCGAAACATTAGTTCTTCAAGAGTCTTATATTTGCCTCTTCAAAAGCAATATATCAAAATTCTTGTGAAATATTGAACATTATAATTATGCTCTTAAAGAGGAATCAAATATTATTATAATAAAATTATTTAAGGATATACTCTTTTGTAGTAAAAATATAATTAATGTTAGATTTTACATAATTATGCTCTTCGTAAGCAAGTAAAATCTAACTAAAATATCAATAATAATGTGCTACTTAAGGAAAAACAATATTTGTAATAGACAAATCTACAAGTAATATTCTTCTGGAATATTGGAATCGTAATATCATGCTCTTCGGGAGCGAAAAAATATTATTATTTGAAATAATAAATTGCATAAGAATTTACTCTTCAGGAGTAAAAACATAATTTTTAATTATGTTCCCCGAGAGCAAATAAAATATAACTAGAACAATAAGATTAGTGTGTTACTTACGAGCAATAATATAATAGATTACCAATAAAAAAAATTCAACAAAAATAATAATATACACGTTAAACGCCCATAAAACACGTTAATATAAATAACATCCACAAGGCATAAACAATAAATTAAAACAAATCACAGATTAAACGACAATACCTTCGTACATTTATCATCTGGTCCAATATCTCAAGTGGACTATTCATGATGTCATCATTGATAGTTGAACCTATATCTCGTGGTTGAATTTAGTAAAGAACAAAAACAAATAACTTTTCATAAAGAATGATTACATAATTCAAAATTTGCTTATTGGGCCTATTGGCAATTTTGATTGCAGAAGCAAACGTACAAGATTTTTTTTCTAAATAAATATTTAAATGGCGTCGAAATCTACAAAGAATTCTGTCATGCACGAATTAGGATAGATATGCATGAATTTGTGTATGTATAAAAAGCTTCCGATTAATTTGCTTTGATTTTGAGAGCAAAATCAAATCGTGCTGATAACGTGTTATAAAAAGAGAGAAATAGAGAAGAGAATAAGAAAAGTCAATAAACTTTTATGTGTATTATAATGAGAACCAAAATCCTATATTTATAGGGAATGAATATGGATACATATGATAATAATATTTAGGACTGTAGGGGTACAATTGTCATTCAATGATACCATACCATTTACAACAGATAAGAATAAATAAAGTGAGAACAGGAAAATATCTTGAAGAATATTCAGTATTATATTTTTCCAAAAAAATGCATCTTTTTAAAATCTTCAAAGTGAAAATGGAAAAGGAAAAAAAAACCATATTTTCTCATACCAAAACCAAATCCCTTTTTGTTTATTCGTTTATTGGGTCGAAAAGAATCTTATGCAAAGGAACAGGATAAGAAAAATAGTAAAAGGACAAAACCTTGATATTTATTCGTTTATTATCGGGTCAAAAAGAATCTTAAGCAAAGGAACACGAAAAGAGGAATAAGACGAGAAAAAATAGACAAAACCTAATCCTACTTTTTTTTTTTTAAGTGTGGATTGGATCTACCACCGTCAACATCTATTTCTTACATACATTAAAGTCCAAACCCACCCCACCCCACCCCACCTCACCTCACCTCATCCCTAGAGCATCGTTGAGGAAGTAAATCGCGGGATGTACTTTAACAGGCCAGAGTATAAGAGCTGTCATATTGGTACCTACAACGAGTCAAATTTCATATCTTGTAAGAGGCAGGAATCAAACCCTCACACTGCGGTTGTCAGCTCAATTGAGATTAACTCACTCATGTCCTTTGCACCATTGAACTATGTCCCGAGGACACTATTTCTTACATACATTAATACAATATTTCCAGGTAAAAGGGATAAAAATTGAGTCGACTTTTGTAATAGTTAAAAATAAGTGATTAATTGAATAAATATTGATTGAGTGATCAAATTAGAGCAAATGCAATCTAGCATTATTGAATTTGCGTGAGGTTAAACGATTTTCTTTTCGATAAATAAATACTAATCGACCTAAAATTCAAACAGACATTATTTCATTTGAATTAAAAATAATGTTATCTAATATCAATTTCCGTATATGTCAGTATGTTACGATAATGATTCATATTTTTTTTTTTTTAATTTAATTGAACTTACAATGATACCACCTGTTGAACAAATTCCAACCATTTTCCACAACAGCGGTCAAATAAGCCAAAAAAATTTCACCAAACAAACAAATCCAGTCCCAGATCAACCTAACTCAATTTATTTACATGACAACAAATCCCTAAATCACATTTCAACTTTTTCTTCATAAATTGTTTTGGGAAACAATAATTCACCCCGCCTGACTACACAGAAATAATCATATAGAGTGGTAAAAAGACGACAAAGAATTTGCTTGTATTTAGGGGCGGACCCAAGGGTTCTGGGGCCACGTGGCCTCCTAACTTTTGAATTTTTATATTTATTTTTATAAAGTCATA